TAATTTCGTTTTTTTTTTTTTTTTTTTCTCTCTTTTTTGATCCTCTCTTGTGATTTATTTTGCCCGTTTCGTTGGGCACTGTGATTGCAACTTTCTTAGCCAGTTTTAAAGTTAACGCCGTAACACGTGAAATACCTATTAATTTCACAGTGAATCACGGTTGGCTCAGGTCAATTCATTCGCAACTTTTATACCCTATACGTGTGTATCTATACACTCGTATACATATACACACATATATGTATATATGTTTAATTTTTCGTTCGAGAAGATTTAATTTCTACTTTATTTTTACCTTATACAAGTAAACGAATATCGTTATCATCATTGCCATCGTCAACATCGTCATCATCGTTATTATCATCATTGCCATCATCAACATCGTCATCGTTATTATCATCATTGCCATTATTATTATGACTATAATTTTCTTACGCGGGGAAGCTCGTTCCGGTCTGAATTAGCGTAAACGTGATATGTCAAGTATATGCTGATACGTTACTACGAAAATTTCCTAACTGAATATCGTTGTTTAGTATGACAACTTTATATTACTATTATCACCATCATCGTCATCGTCATTCGTCATTATCGTTACTATTACTAGTACTATTATTATTGTTTAGCAGTATCATCGTCATCGTCTTTATGGTTTTCATTACCTTAACTAATTAAGTAGACCGAAACATTCCGAAGGTAAGTACGCACTAAAGAACGAGTTCTAATCGCATAGCTGACTAGTCTTGTTCAAACTCTTCTATGGCTTGTTGATTGGTTAACGAATAAAATTTTCAACCTCCCCCCTGCTAACGCGCAATGCTAGTCACCCGGTTATTCAGGTGCAGGGTATAATCGGCAATTTTCAATCAACTTGGAAGAGTTATAAAATTATTGTTGCAAATTTCCTCTGTACTAAACCATTTACGAGGTTAAATGGTCTTTTTTTATATGATTATGAATAAATTATATTACGTCGTTGGAAATGTGCATTCGTTTACCTTGGTATTCTTTCCTACACGATTTAACGATGTCGCTAATTGCGGCAGATCGTCTTACTTTTTCTTTGCCTAGCTTATAGTAGTAGCAATAGTAAGTATCTATCCTGTTCGTATTATAAATATGTATTTATTATATCATAGTAGATTTGTGTATACATGAATGTGCAAGAACGTGTAAATCATATTCTACGTTTTCGATGGCAACAAACAAATAGCTTTTTATTATCTAGATTAGAAAATTACAAATTTCAAATCGATATAGGCACCTTTGAATGTCTCTGCTTACATAAGTATTTAAATATATGTATGCACAATATATGCGCAGATTACACATGTATGTACATTGAAACAAATTGTTTAACAGAATACCATTAAAGTAGAGTATCAGCTTAGTAGTGAAAAGATGAGCAAACGAGGAAAAGACACAAAGCTAAAAGAGAATCTATCGCCTCTATTTTTGTAAAATTTATATTGAATTCAAAGTATTTCTACTTTTCGTAGAGTATCCCATTATGTGTGAATCGATTGCAGTAACAACAAGCACGTAAAACTTATTATTTCATTCTTTCAAATCTGTGTTCTATTTCATAAATTCCAACAGGTTCTTTGATCTTGTCGCAATAATCAGCCCACTCTCCTTCGCTTAAATCTATATCTGTAAATACTTTTCCATCGTTTACGGCTTTGGCAGTCCATCCTTCTCTTGCTGAGAAATCACTAGGTTCGAGGCCCCGACAATCGAATATCGCTATCGTTTGGAATTTCTCCTGATCGTTCGCGAGAAACGATTTGATGGAATCCTCCAAGATGCTCATGGAATTTTCGCGAGAACAAAGTTTGCATTTGCTCGCAAAGTGATTCACTGAGTTTCCTCTTTGACTTGGAATGGACTCGCTCAAAGATACATAATTCCATTTTTCTGATACTTCGCCACAATTGCAGCAAGTAAATTTGAGGTACCATCTAAATTCTGTTCCCGATGGCTTCAGTTCCTCTATATTTTCTAACGTAGCTTTTATCTGAAATGCTATCTTTACCATTCTGATAAGATCTAGCTGTCTCCCTTTTACGACAGTTCCACACGTGCCTTGATGTTTCCTATATTATTATACGTATACGTATATTTGTTAAAATAATATAACCTTATTGAGGTTATGTTACAAACGAATGATTCGTAAATGTACAAACGATATTTCTCTCCATACAATTAATTGCACAAGTAACAACACATGGACGCTTCTACACAAATTGTCTCGCGTTATACTATACTGTCAATCGAGAGCTACTTTTAAACCAAGTATTATAAACGCATCGTAAATAGTTAAAGTATAATTTTTGAATCGTGTATGTGCGCATGAGTACAATACCCGTTGGTAATGTAGAAAATGATTTAACAAATATTCTACAATTTAGTTTTTCATCTATAATCGTACATTTATTCAGTGTACATTTATTATTACACGAGTTAGTGCTTTGGAAATGGTCTAATCGGGTCTCGTACAAAATCGTTGCAGTGATCACGTTATTCATAGCCTGGATATTTATGAATAGCGGACGAAAGAAATAAGCATGAGACGAACAACTTTTCTTTCTGCAGTTTGTTTTTATATCCTAACCACGTATTCGAATGCAGAAGATATTTTAGGTTGTGGTGGATTTTTGAAAAGTCACGCCGATATCGATTTTGCTAAAGTACAAATAAAGTTGTGAGTAGTTTATCGAGCAGTTCCTGACCGAATCAAATTACAACACAAATTACGACAGATAATCACTTAAACTTTCAATCTATTTAGATATACAAAATCTGGTAGCCTCAAAGATTCTACAGAGTGTGCCCCTAACAATGGATATTATTTCCTTCCTTTATACGATAAAGGGGAATACGTTTTGAAGGTAATAAGAAACAATATAAGAAAACTTCATAATAACCTGTTGTTTAATGTATATTAATTAAAGAAATTAATTAAAGCCATTGTATCTAGTTTTGAATATTAGTTTTCTGTTTATATATATTTAGGTGGATCCACCTAGAGGATGGAGTTTCGAACCTACAGAAATTTTGTTGGTCGTAGATGGAACTACAGATGCCTGCAGTGAAGGCAAAGATATTAATTTTACCTTCAAAGGTTTTGGTATCACGGGCAAGGTAAACTATCCGTGTGAAATACATTTTATACAAAATCTAATATATATATATATGGAGCGATGAAAATTATTCTATGAATTATTGGCAGTATCGTTAAGAAATGTAATACGATTTAGGTTACCAGTTTAGGATCGGATTCTGGTCCTAAAGGTGTTACAGTATCATTGTATAAAGAAAGCAACAAGCAAGTTCCTGTTGGTACAACGGTTACCATGGAAGGTGGTATATTTTATTTTACCCCCGTACAACCTGGACAATATGTACTTGTTGCGTCTCATCCCGTGTGAGTATCATCAGGTTTGACTTAATTGTGTTACGAGACACGTCACATTGTGTTACTTTATTCTTTAGATGGATGTTGAAAGTAAATACTGTGAAAGTAACAGTACGAGAAGGCAACACAGAACTTCCCGATGGTAGTCTGGTAATTTATGGATACGACGTGAGCGGTCGAGTTACCAGCGAAGAAGAAGCGGTTAGCGGCGTAACATTTGTATTGTTTGGAGTAAGAGTTTCTTATATTTTTCTTTCTGATATTTTTCCTGTGCACCTTGCAAAATTAACAAAATTTGATCTATTTGTCTTGCGTTTGCTTAGAACGGTGTAGCTAGAAATTGCGCAACGACACCTATAAGTAAAGATCTCGAATCTAGAAAGCCACTTTGTCATGTTGCGTCGGATAAAAGTGGTAAATTCTTGTTTCCAAGTTTATCACCTGGCGAATATAAACTTGTTCCGTATTATATCGGTGCTCAAACTAAATTTGATGTTCAACCGCCTGAATTATCGTTCAAAGTGAATCACAGCAGCGTCCTATTACGTCAAGGATTTAAAGTTACCGGTTTTACGGTAAATGGTATCGTCCGTACCGCTATCAATGGAGATCCTTTGCCAGGAGCGAAAGTTTTACTTTCTCAAAAGCAAATCGCTATAACGAATGAACACGGAAAATATGTATTGGATAATATAAAAGCCGGTCAATATATTCTGAAAGCTGAAAGCGGTACGCCAAGTTTAATCTCAATTATTGCCTTTTTCTGCGGAAAATGCGAGTTTCAGTTATTTATCTTGCGTTTCACTTCCTATAACGCTCAGAGGACTTACTGTTCAATGACAAATCGGTCAAGATCTCTCCCAATTCTCCGGAACTTCCCGTTTTGATACCAGCAGCGTATAAAGTTCGTGGCAAAGTTACTTTATCGGCAGAGGGAGGTTTAGATCATCGAAAAGTTTCCATCCAGAATACGGCTACCACGTTTACCAAAGAAATTGGGATAGATACAATAACAGGTGAATTTTCCGCCTATCTCACTCCTGATACGTATCAATTAAGCGTTATTGTAAGTGCGGAAGAGAGAGCTAAAGGTCTACAGTAAGTTCATTGTCGTTGGCTTTTTGCCTTTTTATTCAACTTTCTCGATATCTCTTGACATTGATATGTTTTCAGATTTTTCCCACTGCAACAAACCATCTACGTGTCGTCCCGACCGGTGGGCAACATTAACTTCTTACAATTAAAAGCTACGTTAACAGGAACGGTAAAGTGTTTACCAGAAACCGATTGCAGTCAAGCATCCGTAACGTTGAAGGTACTGGACGGTATCACGATAAAAACAATTCAAACAAAAGGTTAGATTTTGTTTTACCTTATACCTATCTGATGGTTGATTTCTTGCTTTTGGAAATTCTGCGACAATAAGCATGCGTTGAAATAAAAAAATAAATTTCATTTCACACTTCAACGATACGGGACACTATAGAACAATATTACAACGCGTTCTTATTGTCGTGGTCATATCGGGTCCATTGATCCACTCGATACTACCGTTTTGTCTGTAAAGTTTCCTTTGATCATGCAGCTGGCCAATACCAATTTACGGACGTATTACCCGGCCATTACGAGGTGTTAATAGACAATGATGTTTTTTGTTGGGCGAATCCCAGTTACAGAATTTCTGTAACTTCAGAACGATCTGAATTACCGCCCTTCGAACAAACTGGATTTTCTGCTACTTTCATATCTTCTCACGACACCACGGTTGAATATTCGAAAGCAGATGAATTGAAAAAATTAACGTTAGCTCTGAACAAAGGAAGCACAAAGCATTGCGTATCAGAACCTGGAATGTATACATTTACGCCAAAGAGTTGCCACGTTTATGAGAAATCGTCTCACACATGGGATACGAACACTGTTTCGCCTATTTTATTACATTCGACGGAGCATAGTCATATAGGAAACATTTTAAGTCGATCCGCATTAGATGGAATTAAAGTAAAAATCGAGAATGCAGCGGGCGAGGTTATAATGTAAGCGAACACGTACCGTATTTTTATACAACTTTATTGTATCTTCACATTTCACATCTGACTTAATGTTAATGTTTGCGTCATTTCTATTACATAGGCTTGGTCCATTGAAATCAACGCGTCACGAAGATTTGTATAAATATGAATTCGAATTTAAGGCAAAAACAGATAACATTTACACAATAACACCGTTATCAAACATCCTTCTATTCAGTCCGGCATCACTGAAGGTATTAGGTGTGAACGATTGCCAAGACGATATTGCTACGTTCGTGGGCGACTTAGGGAAGGTGAGTGCTGTAATCGTTCGCTTAAAGTGCTCAAATGCGTTCGCTCAAATTCCTCGTCACGATCGGGGTACGTGTTATCATTTGCACCTTGCTGCGTATCGTACAGATAATTGCTGGTAGAATCAATCCACCACTGGAAGGAGTTACCGTGAAAATATTTGGTAATGACAAAGCTGTACCTATACACACGCTGGACACACAAGAAGATGGAACGTACAGTATCGGTCCTTTGGATGGGAAAGTAGAATACAGGTGCGCACGCTTCATTCCATATGTTTTTTCTAATTCATTCGTTTATAATTCTTCGCTGTTTGTTTATCCAGCGTTACTGCGGAGAAAGAAGGATTTGTGATCACTGGGCCTGATTCCAACGGAGTATTTGCAGCTCACAAATTGGCTGAAATCATAGTACAGGTTTCCGATCAAGCTGACAATGTTTCTCTACAGGTACGTACGAGTCTGGGGCGACTAAACTCGATAGCAAATTATGGAGTTGGGTTTGATTATTGCGATATATAGGGTGTCCTGTTGTCATTGTCTGGTGAACAAAGTTATCGAAAGAACAGCATTACCGGCGAGAATGGGAAATTAATCTTCAATTCTTTGTCCCCTGGCGAATACTATTTGAGACCCATGATGAAGGAATACCGTTTCGATCCTCCATCGAAAATGATCAAAGTCGTTGAAGGTGCCACGGTAAAGATAAATCTATACGGGAAAAAGGTCGCGTTTAGCGCGTACGGTTCCGTGACATCGCTAAATGGTGAACCTGAAGCCGGGTTGCTAGTCGAAGTTCAGGGCCAAGGAGACTGTGATAACCTTCAAGAAGAGGCGACCACGGAGGAGAACGGTAGCTTTCGAATCCGGGGGCTTCAGCCAGCGGTAAGCGAAATCTCTGCTTGTAATTTAAATTTATTCGCTTTTTACGTTTTTGTCACGATCAAGGGATTCGTCGTTTCAAAAGAGTTTCAACAACAACTTTGAAAGCAACTTGTCGTCCTTTCTTTCGTACAGTGTACCTACGCATTCCGTCTGAAACCGAACGCCGAAGTTAACGCGCACATTCAACGTACCAGTCCCACCTCAACGTCGATACAAACTTCGTCGGACATTCGAGGTCTTCGATTGGTTGCGTTTCATCCTATAGCGCGTACCGACGTCTCGGTACACGTCCTGTCGATGCAACCAGAACACTATCGTACATTGAAGGTAAAACTATGCAGGGAAGATACACCCGATTCTCCGATACACACGTCAAGATTAAATACTCAGCAGTTGAGCAAGGTCGGTAGCGCTTACAATGCTGGTTTCCTGGTCCATTTGCCTCCGTTGCAGGCAGACGGTAAAAAGTACTTTGTGCAATTAGAATCTTCATTGTCTCATGCGTTACACAAGTATAGAACCATACCCTTTTATTTCGAGGCGAATTCATCGTTCAAGTATGTAAAATTAACATTCAACGCGGAACGTAAGGTCGATCATAGTGATATGAATCAAACGTCCGTAGTCGCGTTACCTTTTATCATGTTTATCGCAGTGGCGTTTTTCAATCGGGAAAAATTATGGTTGTGGCTGAACGCTTTAATCGAAAGGTGGCCAAAACCGGCGCCGATCTCGAGAAGCCCGATACAAGCTGTTCCTGTCGATCCGAGAGCGGACGATATCATAGTCGAACAAATAATGAATATTAACAAAAGGAAAACCAAACCACGCAAGGCGTAATTATTAGCGATTTTTCGATCGTTCCGCGATATTTTCAGTAGCGTTACGATGATTAATGCGCTCGATTAAGGCGAACGCGATACGATCTCTTGTCGATCGATGATCGATCTCGTTGCATTTTATATGTACTGTGTACATTATGTGCGTGGATCGATTTAGCGAATACCGCTTTATCGGAATACTTGGCGCCGTAAATGCATACGCCGACTTTCAACATGAAATGTTCGTTACTGCGTTTCTGAAGTCATATATGTCACTTTCATAGATAATTATATTTTTATTATGCCGATATAATAAACGTAATTTTACTTTGCTACGTTTCGGTACAATAACGATTGTCCAAACGATATCATCGTACTTCTATGGCGATCACGGAGCAATAAACGCCTAGAAAACAAAAGATAAAAAGCTTTTTCATGAAAATAACTTGCGCTATCTTGGCGTACTTACTATAGGATTGACGTTGTACATGCATTTCATAAACATGAAAGTTTTTTCGCATTTATCTTCTGCGTCTAAAAAAGATAATTATCAAAATAATAGATCTATAACGGATAAACTCGCGGTCGTTACAATCGATGGAATACTTACCGACGTCCTTGCAACTATCGACCATTTCATTACCTATTTCTTTGTAAACATTTGGAATTACTTGTTTCAGTATGTTGTATCTTATTTTACCATTCTTGTCTATCTGTACTATGCAAAACGACAACGACTGTTTTATAGGAAACGCGATATCATGGTCTAGCTAAGAAATACAATGCAGCAAAATCGAACTTTACCATGTTAAACTTTTCCAGAACGCATTTAAAGTAACACTTCAGATTCTCATCTTCAGGAAATTCCCCGTATTCCGTACCTTCGATGGCCTCTGTAAAAGAAAGTCGTCGTTAGATTTAAACGACGAAGAGAAACGACATAGAAAAACAATGGATCCGTGGAAAGTGTAGCTACGCATTTCGCCAACTTACCAAGCGTCGTCTTACTTTCGGCGATACACTTCTTTCTATGTACGGATGTCATTCTCCTGAAGTCGTCGGGATCCGACTTGTTCGTAGAACATTCGGGTTATTTCCATTAAGAATGTAAAAAAAATAGCGAATCGAGATACCTATTACGATACTTACGGATATGGTACCTCCGTGGACGAGAACGAATTGCAACGTTAGAAGACAAATCAGAGACATGCAAACTGCCGCGGCTCTCATTTCTCCGGTAATTCGTTGCCGTCGATGAAAATATTACAAACTCGACCACGCACGTCAGGAACGTCGAAGACACCAGAGTCAACTCTATACCGGCGCTACGAATTCGTACCATTTATAGACGTCCACTTATCACCGCGACCGGCTAAAAGGATCGGTTGGCGTAATTTCGGATTCATACGCCGTACAATTATTTGATTTTACTCGGCAAACAAACACGCCGCCTTCTTCGTCGGATGTTTATCTAATGATAGCGTCTAAACGCTAAAGGAGAAGTTAAGCCCCAACAACAATAGACATTTAGCGTAAATACAGCCGTGTAAATTGCAAGAAAGGCACAATTATCGAACTCGTAGCCAGCGGACGGTAAAATACAGGCTAACGCAAAACGTTCAATTAATGTTCGAATTTCGTGCGATCGAGCATGTTCCTAGCTACTTTAATTACTTCCTGCTGTGCAACGAATAGACCTCGAGATTGCACGAACAAACTGACCATTTTCTATATAAGGGAAACGATGCATGTTGTCTTAAGGCAACATCTTACGGATAGCAAGATCATCGGATGTTGTTTCGATTCGAAAAAGAAAATGCGTCACGACAATACGCGTTACTCGAACGAAGCGTATTTCGTTCGCAGGCCATTCCTTTCATTCGTATCGCGCGCATTTAATCGCGACCTCAATTGGCAATTGGATCGTCCGAGCATCGGAAGTCGCGATCAACTGGATAGTTTGAACGATCACACCAGTTTCGTATCCAGGTCTCGACACCAGGTTTCAGCGATATATAACCGAGGCGGACGGATAGGGAACAGAGTCGGAAACGTTGATGTGGTGGAAACTGTAAGACAAAAGTAACGCGATAGACTAATGTCTCTTTCTTTTATTAACGTTTCGTACAGAAAGCCGTCTACTCGTTTCAATGGGTAACGATTCTGTTACGTGATAAGGCGAAACACAATTCAACGCCAGCTTCGATTCGTTCGATGAGATAGTTGCATCGCTTCCTTCCGATCTCGTCTCTTCTTCGATTCGAATGAAACTCGGTTAAAACAGATAGTAGGTCTGAAACACAGGCGCAAACAAATGGCTGACAAGATCAAAACGATAAACGAGACTGTCGTTCGTTGAATCAGAATTGTGTACTCACCCGCGGAGATGATTCCGCGTAACATTTGTTAAACCTGTACGCGTACTCGCAATTGTCACCTTTAGCTAAAAGAACGATCGATTAACGACCGAAATGACCGTGCAGGATCCGATTAATCGTATGCCATCGAGATAAAACTGATGGAGTGTTGTTGTTTCACATAAGTGATGGTTTTAGGAAATGAATGTACAGGAAGGAACAAAGAGAGGTTTCGATCGAGAGGTTTCGATCGATCGTTAAGACGAAAAATATAACAAATAGAATATAGATACCCAAATATTTACCGATCCCCTTGCACTCGCTGATCGCTTTCTGTACCTCTGCCCTGTAAGCTGGTATTCTTTGGAAAAACGTGAGCATGCCGTTCAAGCTGAGTTCTCTCTTGTCATCGACTAGCCCGAATTGTTCCCACAAACAGTACATGTAACACTGCGAACCAAATAGAGAGCGCTTCTTTCTTTTCCGCTGAATAAGTTGCCCAAAACCGCGGACATACCGCGACACACCGACTTGCCAACTTTACCAATGTATTATTACCTTCAATTGACGTGTTTCGGGCCACTGACCATTCCTCACTGCCTCTATATCCACTGAAACAGGCAACAAACCAAATTAGACTAATTTATTTATTAATTAAACGACGCGTCATTCGATCGCTACTCGACGGTCCTACCTGTCGCCACCCCTGTTTGCGTTTGACAAGCATTCACCACGCTAGCTGCCGTTGCGATCATTTCGTCCGAAACGAAACTCGGTCGCGTCTATGAAACATATTTTTCTTATCGTTAATCCTCTCGAGTTCGAGTCAGATCGAAATAATTACCGTCTATCTATATAAATCTATCCGTTTCTTTTTCCTTTCCTTGCATATATGCATATCCTTAGCCAAAGCTCGATGCGCG